ACACTGCCATGGGATGCTCATCAAAGGAGCAATTTAGGTGGATAACTTTGTAAACTTCAGAAGCACAGTGCCTTCATTCTGACTTTTACAGAGGTTGGATAGAAGGGGTCTGTTTTTCTTGCTGTCCATGCACTTACAGCAGTGTCCCAGGCCCTTCAAAGGAGCCCAGACCAAAACGGAGCACATATGAGCTGCAGAGGTCAATGGTGTTTGATAGCTGGGATGCCATGGAAGATTTCACATTCTTCAGCTTTAATCTCTTATAACAAAATGGAATTCAAACCTAACCCCCAAAAAAATAAGTCAGGTCTGGTTAGTGTGATGCCATGTCCTGTGCATCCATCAGGATTTGTTTTTGGTGGATTAGTGCTCTCATTTATGTGTTTTCTTCTTGGTCAGCAGTGTTATTGTTTTAGCTGATACTTTCAAAAGGTGTTTATTTTTGCTGCTAATCTAAGATGAGCCCTGTAATTATCTGTGAAATAGAAGCAATTCCTTTCTGTAGCTGTGATGCTCTCTGGAGATAGTGCCTGATGGTCGCCATTTCATGTTTTCTGACATGCTTTTTTCCATGGCTATTTTCAAAACAGTTGCATCACATTTCAACATGTCCATTGACATGTTTTACCAAAAATGCCTCTGACAAAAAAGCAAAGACTTTTAGTCTCCTAGATGGATTAAGTGCCATTCTAGTGTTTGTGATGAGAAGTATCGTTCTCTGCCTCAATATTTTTATTGAATGCAGGTTGGGTTGGTTCTTTTACATGTTGGGCTGTAGCACAGAGTAAGACAGCCCCTTGACCTTACAAGGCAAAATAAATAGATTATTTTAACTTTCACAGTTTCACATCTTTTCAAGTGGCAAAAGGATGGCTGGAACAAAGAGGTAAGAAGATCAACTGCCTTTCTCCAGTTTTCAGTCCCACGTCACCTTGTCCTCTGCTCTTTGCCACCCAAACATAACGTGGAGCTTCTGTGGCTATGCCACTGTTTTCTCAACTCTTTCTACCTTTTCCCTACTCTGGCAGATGCTTTGGTGGGTGCTCTACCATCATCTTTCAGGATGTAATACCCATTTACCCCAGGCAGACATTATGGTTCCCTAACATTTCTTCAGCCTTTTTACTTCCCTGCTTTTCCTTTGCTTCTTCCTCTCTCTTTTTTTCCTGAACTTTCTCCCTCTTCCTTCCTGCCCCAAACCTGATCATTTCTGAGAGCTTTTGCATTCACTCCTAGCCTTTGCTCTGCCTGTTTTTTCCTTGCTTCACACAGCCTTTTACAGGCAGGGTAACTCTCTTGATCATGTAGAGGTTAGGAAGAAATTCTGCCTCTGTCTAGGGTGAGAGACAGAGACACAATCATTCAGGAATTATTTTTTTTCTCTGTTATCTGGGTCTAACTTTTTTTTCTGATATGGAACACTGCTCTAGGTGCCTACTGGAGTTCCTGTGGCATGGGAAATCTTTACTACCCAAGCCTGGGTGAGTGTATAGCATCTGAGATTGGATTGTGAAATATTCCTTGAGAGTGGAAGTCTGGATGTGGACTTCCAGGTTTAGTTTGGGCATTCACCTGGAAGGGAGCCTAATCCACGAATGTCCAACATGAGGCCTTACAAAGTATCCTCCCAAGATCTCTTGAAAATCTCTGTTTTCTGTCTGTTTACACCTTCAGCCTTGCTCTGATGTCCCTGAACATGTCATGCTGACAGCTGTTGACCTGGTACTTGATCTAAACACAATGCTGTAGTGGGATTAAGACTATTTACAAAAACTGGTTACTTGCTTTATGTTTGAAGCAGATGGAAAATACACCAATGAAAATGTCATTTTTAAATGGATCAAGAATAATCACAGTGCATGCTTCTGAAGACTGCAGTGAAATATCTGAAAAAAACAACCAACCAACCAACCAAGAAAATTCCTGTGCTTCCCTGCGTCCACCCTTCCTCTCCAAACATCATGGTCATAGCTCTTTTAAGGGTGGGAATAGAAAGGGGGTACAAATAATCTTATATGATTAGGATCACTATCAAAGTTTCCAATCTCTTGTCTGCATTTTTATTGAGCCTAATACAACTGCCCTGGTGGACATCAGTGAGTAGTAGATAATTAATAACTGCTCAAGATCTTCATGTGTGCAAACAAACTGTATTTCTAAGGAGTCAGGGGCACTCTGAACACCCTTCTCCTCATGTTCAGAGGCTGTGCTTTTCTACTACAGAAAAAGCCTCTCAAGAGGCAGTGATCAAGTTTTGCTTCTAGGCTATTCCAGTTACCAGCAGTATCCAGAAAAGAAACTTGAATTTGTATTATTAATTCAACAACATCATTATGAATGAACCACAGGAAACAATGCATCTTCTTCCTATGTAAACAGTATAAATAAAACTTCTGATAAGCACTTTACTGCATTGAATTCCTCATTCTTTTCTTTGAGAGTGTTCCAAAGTTTAGTGTGCAGCTTAATCAACTTCATACGTGCTTGAGTTGGGCAAGTCAAAACTAACATGACCCTGCACAAGGAAAAGCATCCCTCGCACGAGAAATCCCATTCTGCTTATTTACTATATATGAAAACAGCCCCAGCCATTCCTTCCCTGAGGCAACAGGAACTTTTCCATGTTTCCTTAACCACCGTCACCCTTCAACACTTTTCAGGAGGAAAGCCTTGTTCTCAGGATGACCCTGGCTGCATGGTCATTAAAGCTGAGATGGAGCTCAGAAGCAGAATGACCAAACCTCCAACTTTAATGTATTCAGCTGCAGTATAGTTACCAATGGCAAAGTATGGTGCTGTTTGACTTCTCTTTTCTGTCAACTATTGATCACCCTGAAATTCTTTTGAATATAAAACTTTGGGCTCTGCTTTGGCAAAGAGTTGAGTACAGGATTAGCTACAGCTGCAGGTTACCATTTTTAAATTAGCAAGGCTGTTAGCATGGGTTAAATAAATACATATGTAAATAAATATAATGTTTTATAATTAAAAAGATAGCAGTGTGCTGACACAGTGCTATGTGGGTGACAAGGATTAAAGAATAGGCAGGGAGACAAGTTAAGTAGTTCAGGTGAATCAGATCTGCACTGAGTGGCAAAAGTTCTGGGAAAAAACCCACCTTTTTTGAAGCATACTTGTACCAGGCCTACATACAGGCCTTTTAAAATCACAGTCCTTCTGCATTCATAACACTTGGGTCTGGGCTGGAAATCATCCAAAGGATTTCAGCTCTGTGTTCTGGGATTCAATAAGGAGCATTTTGGGAGGGTTGGTGACCGCTTCTGGAATGTGTTAAATTAAATCCTTTGTTATCTATAGACAGACATCACAGGGGTTGCAGCAGTGCAAACCTCTCTTCATTTCAGACCTTGTCGCTGGATACTTTCTGCTTGGAGTGGGAGGGTAAGGAACACGATGTGGAGACAGGTGTCTCCCGAGATCTTTGGTCCAAGCACTCAGGTCTTACTTTTGTTCCTGTTATCTTCCAATCAGGAAAGGCTGCCTGGGAGAGGTGACAGCTTAGTCCTCTGAGAAAGACCCACAGCTTTCTCTGGCTTCAAGACAGAAAGTCCTGTCTTTGCTTACTCATTAATTGTAAAAAGGAAAAAGAAGTAATTATGACAGAATAAACATCTGAAACATCCTGTTCAGAGCAAAAGCCAAAACAAGTGGGGGGAAAAGTCTGCTATTCAGTGCTCTTTTGCTTAACTGAGCACAGGAGGAGAGACAATGTGCGGTGTTGCCTAGAGGAGAGAAATACCTAGAAGCTGGCAGTTCACAGCATAGGGAGACAATAGTGACAGTGGATGATGTGCAAGTGAGAAAAAACTTCTGAGAAATCCCAAAATTTCCCAGTCCAGCTATCATTAGTTTTTTTCCGGGTAGTGGACAGCATACCAAAGGGATTAACAGCTTAATCAAAACTGATTCATATATGAGGATCTTCATTGCTTATTTATTTACTTTGTTATCAGGAACTTCCTCTTAGAGACATGGGAAACTGAGGCACTGAATGGTGAAAAAACTTGTTTAAATGCTGCCTGTGGCAGGGGAAAAATTAGAAGTGTGTTACTCAAGTCTTACACCCCTTTATTACTCCTGCGCTGGTTTAAGGAATTACAGTGCCTTGCATAACCCTGACTTTTCTGGCTGAAATGATATTTGAGTACAATCCTTTGCTCACATTTCCCTGATTTTTCTGACTGCAAAATGAGGTCTTTTATACCGCAGGTGAAAGTGCTAAAAAGGCTGATTCGCTCCTCATCGTGTCCCTAGAGCTTTTGGTACTTGTAGGAAGTTACGTGATGATCAAAGCCAATGCGTCTGCCCAGCACTTTGCAAAGGCACGGTCGTTTTGCAGGTTCACTTCCCCGGTCCCAAGCAGTTTAACCGTGAAAAGAGGCTATGGTATAACGGGCCAGACCCGATGCGCTGCTTTATCAGAGTCTGATGTCATTAATCTCCGTCTTTATGAATGGTGGGGAAGTGGCAGCTGTACACAAGGATAAACAGCCGTCGCAGCAGAGATGCTTTGAACTGCACTACTCCTCTGGGGACGAGATTTGAGATAAAGCCCAATCTGGAAAGCATCAGTGGTGGTGCACCGAGAGCCGCTGATCACCCCCGCCGCTTCGGACCTTTCCACCAGCATCCGTCCCCCTCACCCTGGGGCAGGCACCCTCCTCCCCCTCTTCCTCCCCCTCCTCCCCGCGCTGCCCGCAGCCGGGGGGTCGGGAGCGCAGCGCGGCTTTGCGGGGCTGTGTGTTGATGTCCCCTCACTCCTACAGCACATCTGCCACGACCCTGCCACATCTGGCCGCCGCCCCGCCGCGGGGCAGCATCTGCCGGCACATCTGGGCGCGCGCGGCCCCTCCCCGCGGGCACATCTGTCGGCGGCGGGGGGCGGCCCCGCGGCGGGGCGGGAGGAGCGCGGTCGGCGCAACCCCGCCGGCGGCCGGGGCGGGCAGAGCCGGAGCGGCGCGGAGGGGAGCGACGGCCCGATGGGGCGGCCGGCCGGCAGCCTGGCCCCGCTCCGGCTGCTGCTGCTCCTGGCGCTGGGACACGCCTGGACCTACCGGGAGGAGCCGCAGGACGGCGACAGGTGGGTGTTGCGATAGCGAGGCTGTTTCTGTGCGTTTCCTCCCCATCCACCACCTTCTTTTTCTTTTCTTATCTTTTGGGGTTTCTTTTTTTGTTGTTGTTTTTGTTTTTTGTTGTTTTTTTTAATGCTCCGACTCCCCGCCTTGCAGGGAGGTTTGCTCCGAGAACAAAATCGCCACCACCCGGTACCCCTGCCTGAAACCCACGGGAGAGCTCACCACCTGCTTCAGGTGAGCGCCGCGGCCGCGGAGGACGGGGGGCAGAGGGGGTGCTGGGCTCAGGCGTGTCCGCAGGGAGGGCAGCGGGGGACACACGCGTGTGGGTGTCAGGCGCAGGAACGGCAGCCGTGGCAGCTGTTTGTCTCTCGCCTGCTCTGTGCTAGCCCACCCCGGCATTCCCACCAGCCCGCGGACCGCGGAGCAGGTAACTTGGTTACAGCCCCTCCGCGTTCCGCATCTCCCCCGGCAAGTCCTGCGGCTGTCCCAGGGAAGGGTTTCGTTAACTCGCTGCAAGCGTCGCCTCCGAGACACCGCTGGAGAGGGCGCGTGTGGTTCTCATTGCTGTACCGAAGCCACTGGCAGTTTTTGATGCGGTGGGAGAGGCTTCCTCTGACCTGGGTGAACGGGACCACATTGGAGCTAACACCTGCATCAGTTGCAGGATAATGAATGAGATGGTCCGGATTTGTGCTGCACGAAAGATATCTAAGTTAGGTAGATGAATCACACTCTTAGAATTAGTAACTTCTTCAGCAACCAGCTTTGGCAGAGAAACTCGGCAGAAGGCTCTCAGATGAAGTAAGATGAATCTAATAATGAGTTTTAATTTTTCAGCTGTGTGTTTGAGAAACATCATCTGTTTTGATGATGACATCAAAATGATGACAGCTGTGCAGAGCAGTTGACAGTGGATGTGCTTTTTTGAAGAGCTGTACACAAAGTATGAGCACACATGTATCCTTTCACGGATGCCCTCAGGTTAGCCTCATCCCCACAGACAAGATGTTTCATGTATGAAAGCTGCTTCTTGTGAGAGGTTGCTTTGTGGAGGGAACTGTGCTCTGCCTGTATGTGTATGTTTGCATGTGGCAGGAAGCCACTTCTCTATCCCAAAAATACGGTAACACACGTAGAAAGTGTTACAGGGATTGTCCATCTCTTCTGTTTGGCATTAGTTCCAAAGAGCTGCAGACACATGGCGCAGCAGTGTTGTCCCTCTCCTGCGCTCTCAGGCTTCTTCATGCCCTCCAGTAGCCACAGCCACCTGGGACAGTGTCCTGCTACTGCCCAGTTCTTAGCAGCATTCTCTTCTTCCCAGTCCCTGGAGTCCCTGTAATGGAGACCACCCTTCCCTGTATCCCTTATCTTCTCTCTCTCCTCTCCCTGTGAAGGTGAGGCAGAGCCCTCTTACAAGCACCTCTGTAGCACCCAGTGGCAACACATTTTGGAGAGAGACAGTGTGTAGGTTTTGCAGGTAGTTGGTTCAACCTGCAGCATTTCTCTGGTTGGGGGGGGCACTGAGGGCAGAGACTGTTCTGAGTGGGGAGTTTCTGAATGAAGAAGCCAGAGTGGGAGCTGCATAAGGCAGCACACACATGACCATCTGGCTCCTTTGTGCAAGCCCCAAAATCCATCTGAGGAAATTGATTCTGCTTTGTGTGTCACAGAGGAGGACTACACAAGCTCCTCTGGCTGCTGTGGACCACTGTGCAAAGAAAGCAGGACTCTGTCCAGCTGCCAAGTCCCACTTGTGCTTTCTTTCATCCTTCCTGAGGTATTTCTGACCTTTGGGCTCTGGTTGTGATGATCGTCCCTCCCTCCCTCCCCAGCTCTGCCTCTGCACAATCCCAAGTGATATTCACTGTCACAAGTCCGCACAGCCTGTGTGGATGAGAATTTTCAAATTGCTGTATTGAACTCTTGGTTGTTTTAGTTCAAACATTTTCTCTATTTATGACTTCCATGTCTCCCTTGCTTTAAAAAAGAAAAAAATCCATTTCTGTGTAATCATGCATTTTTAAGGTTTAACCTTTAGGCTTTGGTGTGGGCTCCATTCCCCATCCTGTGAGGTTTCTTTCATGTCCACACACAAGAGCAGGGCAGCAAGTCTGAGAGGGAGCAGCTCTGCTCAGCAGAGCAGCTCTGCACCACACACAGACGTGAGCTGCAGAGTGCTGGCAGCTGTGCCACGGGCTGGCATGGACCTGCAGCATCACCCAAGGTGGTGAGCCCCAGGGGCAGAACAGCATTGCTCCTGGTAGCAAGGTGTGCTCTCAGCAGGCACATGGGATCACCCCTGACAGAACATTTTTAATGTAAGATTCATTAATATTTTGAGGTTGAGGCTGTTAACAAGACGACAGGAAACTTGCAAGTGTTGACTAATCCTGTGGCGCCTCAAGGCAGATTTTGTTTCATAGGACATTCAGCAACTTAAGGATTCAGTTTTCATCCCTGGAATGACAAGCAACACTTAAAGAACTTCAGCTTGGTGGAAACTCAGCTGTGGCTTTTAGGAGCTTTCACTCCAGGTTTCAGATAAACTTGATTTTGGTGTTCTAGAATTTATTCTTACAACATTTCATTTTTTATCTTCCTAGACATCTTTTTCACAGTATTTCATAATGACAATAGTTATGTAATTTATAAACATTGTTAGAGGTAGATAAAGGGATAGTTAATGTCAGCTTCTATTTACTATTAGCAGACACACCTAACTTCTTTTCTAGGTCAAAGTATATTTTCTGTAGAAATGACACAAATTGACACAAAATTTATCCTAGCGGACTATATCATAACACAGCAGGCATAAGGCAACACGCACCACCACTGGTGATCTGTTGTGCAATTAGTTAAATAAAATAAGGAATGCATATGAAGTTGGACATAAAAATTCCTGACTAAAATGCTTGATGGAAAATAATTTCATCCTTTTATTCCTCCTGCTGGAATTTGTCATGAAAATCAGAATGTTTTTAGAGCACTTCAGTAAAAATAGCATCTTTTCATCACAAAAAGTCTTTCTTGATTTTATTTTTTTTAACCAGATTTACTCATGATTAAAGATGATCCAAGTGGAGGGCCAAGCCAGAAGTGGGACCAAGCACTGAGAATATATTGGCATTTTTCCCTGTGGTCATAGCAACCACATACACAATCAGATGTATTTTTTTTTTTCTTTTGAATGTGTGCAGTCTGGCTCTTCGTTTAGTTTGATTTGTATTTTTTTTGTAAATGTCCTCCGTATTTGTTTTCATAAGAGTACAGAGGAACAGATGCAAAAAGCAGAGGGGGATTATTCAAAATCTTTTCTGTGGAGATCTCATTTAAACTTTTGTATGTAACTGCACGAAGTACCCAGTACTAACGACCCAATCAGGTAGGTATGGAGAAGAATTTCTGCAGCTTTTTTCATAGTGGTATGGCCCAATAAGACTTTGAATTCCTACTGTATGCAAAAATTCATCAAATTTTAGGAAATTTGGGCAGCATGAGAATATGAAGCCCTGGTCTCTTGTTACTGTCTTCTCCAGTTATTTGTATGTGATGTTAAGCTGTTTTGCTCTCAGACAGACTTGTAAACTCTTTGTTGGCTTGAAAAACTACACAAATGCTGTGTTTTTCTCCAGTACCTGTGAGAAGTCAGTTTGTGCATCCTTCCTTCATTTCCATTTTAAACAGTGCTCCTGTATGTTGTTTCCTGCTCTGGTCCAGAAGGAAAAGCAGTATTTGGGACAGGTATCCTCCTGCTTCAGCCTGATTATGGAGCATTCCCTAAGGGGGTGGTAGTGGTTATGTCACTCCCAAGTTCAGAAGGATCAGTGTCTAATCTGGTACAATTTATTAATTGGAGTTTCTCCCTTTTTAAAAAACAGAAAACTTGATTGGCACAGTAACTGTTGTATATTAGGAGAGATAAATATTTTTACTCAGCTAGAATTCAGAGAATGTAGTGAATTATTCAGAATTATTCAATATACATACTTAACAGAGACATGCTAGTTGGGAAGCTGCTAGAAACTGTAGAAAGATTCAAGAATGAAACGTGGGAAAGTGAGACTATTATTATTGACTGACTGTGCCCATCTCTTTGCCTACTAGCCACTTAAATATTGTTGTAAGTTGACAGAAAAATAAATAGTCTTGCTCCTCCTGAGAAAATTTGTATAAAATGTTAAATTAAGGAAACCAGCAAGAGTAAATCAGGCAGACAAAAATTTGAACCTGGATTTGCACAGCCAAGAAAAACTCTTTAGCCATTGCCTTCATGAGCTAAGGGAAGATTTGGGGTTTTTTTTTGTTTTATTCAGATGAAAATGTTAGTCTAAATTAGTTGACAAAACTGATTATTTTTAAAACAAATAGACTATTCACGTGGTAAGAGAAATTATCCTTCTTTCTCTGACATCACCATAAGTAGTCTTCTGCATTTTTTGCTGAAAATGAAGCAAGCAAGGACATGTTATACCCTAATTTTGCGTGTATTGTGATAGAGAGTGCTCCTGATCCTTCCTTCTGCAGGACCCCCAAGGAGTAAACAGTTCAGAATTAGGGTGCTGAACAGAACAATTCTAGCTAATAATGGTGAAATCTTTGTAAAGATGAGCCAAATATTTACATATATCTCCAAACAAGCCCCATGTTGTGGGATGTAAATCTTGGTTTAGAACTTCATCTGTAACTTTGGGGTTTTTTTTCAGTATTTTGGAAGAAAGGTCTTTTAAATAGGAAGAACACATTTCAGTGTTGGTTGTCAGCTTCTTCATCTGATAGTTGGCAGCTACAAGTATTTTGCACAGGCCCTTCCAGCACTTCAGGTTTCAAATTATGCTGTTAAAAATTGTTCTACACTTCATAACAAAAAGACAATGCAAATGTATTGTGAAAGAGAATGGATATATGTTTATACCCAACTTTGTTCTGATGCTGAACAGAGATCACAGGCCTCAAAAAGAATTTCTTTTTACCCTCTTCAATGCTGATACTGCTGGTGAAGCCTACTATTTTTATGGACTGTATCATTTTGCACATTCTTAAGAGATAAAAGTAATTGCAAATAAGTTGGATTGTAGCTGTTTCACAAAGAGCAGCACTTTCACTAATATGCCCTTGGGGACCATATGCAGTTCCTGGTTCCCAGATACTCAGCAAGCATGTAGCAGAGCTTTCCAACATGAAAAAAAAAAATTGCTGTATATAGTTCTGGAACTTTCAGCTGGAGTAAGCAGGGA